GGGGGGGGGGGGGGGGGGGGGGGGGGGGGGGGGGGGGGGGGGGGGGGGGGGGGGGGGGGGGGGGGGGGGGGGGGGGGGGGGGGGGGGGGCGGAGGGGATGGACGAGGCACGCAGCCAAGCAGGTGAGCAAGCGAGCGGACGAGTGAGCCGGCTGGAGGGAGCAACAAAGGGGAAGATGGACTGTCGTACATGCTAGCCTGGCCATCGTCGCCGGGCGGGCGCATGTCGGCGGCCAGCTTCTCGAAAGTCCGCTCGAGCATGGAAAAGTCCTCCAACAGACGGTCCATCATGGCGGGCGAGCCATCGGCCATGGCGGCCGGGGGGACGGCCGAGTCGGCGGCCAAATTCTCGAGCGGGACCCAGCCGGGCGCATTGGTGGCCGCATTTGCCGGAGGGGCGCCCGGGGCCGGGTGTTCCTCCGGCAGATCCGGGCTATTGAAGGCCAGATCCGGGAAGAAGGCCGCATCATCGTAAAAGGGCGTGAAGGGCTGCCAGCCGGAGGACTGGGCCAGGGCCAGATACAAGGGGTCCTCCTGGGTGGCGGGGTCCTCGGCGGGCTGGGCCCCGAGGGCGGCCTCGGCCCGGGTCACCGGGGTGATGTTGGGCGTGGGATCTGTCCAATCGACGACGGCCGTGCAGTCGATGGCCCGGGTGCGGAAGGGGGCCGGTCCGGGCGGGAGGGCCCCATTGGCCAGCAGGCAGAGCCCGGGCGCGGTGATGGTGGCCACATACCGGCAAGCCATGGGCTCATGAACACTGACCAGGCGCGGCCCATCGGGCGAGGTCTGCACCGCCAGGGCCAGGGCATTTTGAAAGGTCATACCACTGGCCTCCAGGTCGGCCACCGTCTGGAGGATTGCATGGGGACAAGCCAATCGGAGGTAGGTCTCGCGTGGCTCATTGGTCAAGTCGCAAGAGTGCCCCCGACGGAAGCGGATGGCCAGATGCGCATCCGGAGAGAAGGGCCACCGGACCGGGACAAAGTGCGAGTCATCGCCCTGGCGAAAGGGATCCGGCGCGGAGCCGAGCACATACTCGTCCGTGCGGGAGATGGTATAGGTAACCGGCTGCGGGGGGGAGGACTGGGCCGGCGCCCCGGGTCCGGTCCCAGCCGCGGGACCCGCCGGCGGGTGGGCCCGAGCCGCCGGGTCGGCCAGCGAGGGATCGGCCCCGAAGAGTGATGCCACGCGGGCCAGCGCTCGCCGGAAAATGTGCCCCGTCACTTGCCAAACGTCGGCCCCTGGAGTCCCGACCCCGGGCAGGGGAGTGCCATCGGCCGCCACCGGCACTCGAGTGTCATGGTATTGGGTAATGCGCCCGCGCAGGCACACCGAGAAGTACCACCAGCCGCCGGCCGGCGGGGCGCGCTGCAGGCAGTCCGTCACCAAGGCGCGGCGGATGTCACGAAAGCGCACGGCCGGCGTCCGTCCCTGGGCCATTTTCCCGGAGATCCGCGTGGACACCAACTGGTCGGGGCTCGGCCCGGCGGACCGACAGAAGTACCGCCCCCCATGGGGGCTGGTGAAGAGGGAGATCCCCGGGGCGGGGTCCTAATTTGGGTCCCGGCATGGGGAGGGGGGGAGGGGGGCATGTTGAAGCGTGGACAGGGCGAGCCGCAAGCAGTCGGGCGAGTGAGTCGGCGTGGACATGAGCAGGCACAGGCAGGGCCAAGCGCATGTGCAGATCCCCAAAGGCGCCGGAGTGGGAGGCAGGAGCAAAGACATTGACCCATCCACCAGCACGCATGAGCAAGTGGGCAAAAGCGCATGCCATGGCAAGCCTGAGACAGGAAAAAGGGCCAGCCGGGCGACCGAGAGAAGACGCACATCCAAAGAAAAGGGCAGCTGGTTGAGGTGGCTGTGAAAGGGGATGGCACCAATGATGCTGAGCTTGCCGAAGGCCAGCTCCACTGGACCATCAGACAGGTCGGCCTGGAGGCCTGTGGAGGTCGGGAGCCCGGACGCAGCAGGCGGGACAGGTGGGCTCTCGGATCGGCCGCCCTCGGCGCTCAGCGACAGCAGCAGGCCGAGCAGCAATATCGACAGGAAGCGCATGCTGTGATGCCGTCCCAGGAAGAGTGGACTAGTTCCACCACAAGTGTCAGGAGGGGGGAGGGGGGGGGGGGAGAGGGGCGCTGAACGTCTCCGGATCTTACCTTGCAAGAGACGGAGCAGCGCGCGAGAGGGGGATCCACAGCGAGAGAGAGAGAGGTTCACAAAGAAAGGCACAGAGGAGGAGGAGGGAAGGTGAAAGAGGCAAGGAACCGGGGAGAGAGAGAGTGACGGAGGCAGTTGCAAGGTCCTGCTGGCAAGGGGCTTCCTTGTCGCGGTGCCGCAAGTGTTTCGCGGCTGCCGCCCCCCCCCCCCCGACGAGTATCACTCCTGAGCGTCTTCGACTGAACCAACACATCCACCTAGACCAGCAGACCGAAGTACTCCGGCTTCGGGTGGATGTTGCTGTTCGGACCAGCCAGCTGGGCCCAATGAACAACAAAGCGGTCAGCCAGGCGCAGGGTGGAGAAGATGCGCCCGGTCAGGGAGAGGGTGTTGACGCGAGCCACGCTCTCGACGAAGACCACCCGGCAGTGGCCCAGGTGCAGGATGCGCAGGAGCTTGGCCACGAAAACCAGCGGCAGGCAGGTGCCAGGACCATTGCAAACAAGCTACGGGGTGGGGCGCCGAAGGGGAGGGGATGTCAGAAGAGTGCGTGGGCGTGGGGCATGCACCCCGGTGACTGATGAGGAGGTGCACTGGCGCGGAATGCCGATCAGAGGTTGGAGACGAACCATGTCGGGCTGCTCGCTCCAAATGAGGAAAATGCTGAAGAGCAGAGCATTGAGGGTGGTGAAGATCGAGGAAATGTACGACTGGCCGACGTTGCGGCTGCGCGGGATCGTGTGGAAAGAGGCCTTGGTCTGTGCGGGAG